CACCCCCCCCCCCCCCTCCAATATTCTACTTTCATTTTCATCCACTTTTTTATCCAAACTATTTTTGTCCTTGCCATTTTCAATTATCAGAGTCCTAGCTGATACAGAAAAACATGTGACAAAAGTCTCCTGCCTGGCTACTCTATGAGTGACAAAAGTCTCCCGCCTGGCTACTCTATGAGTAGGCAATGAGTAGTACATCATTTTAGCATTAGAGATTTTCCTGTGAAATATTCCGGTTCCCCACTCTTTGGAGAAATATGTGAATCTGAACTCACTACTCAGTCAGGCCTTGAGGTCTGTAGGGAAAATCCATTCATCCTGTTTTCCACAGATCTTTACCAAATTAAAAAAAAAAAATCAAGGACCCTGAGGCTATGCAAGGGCAGACTTTTGTTGACCTATTCCTATCCTTCCTAACCTTCTGACCTTTAGTCAAGATTTCCCTGGGCCTATCTTCTTGTTTTTCAATAACCAACATTTACATTGGTCAGGTAACTCCTAACTGGTTTGATACAATTCCTGTCCGAGTACTGGCTTCAAGCTTTGCAGCTCCAAAGAGTATGAGTATGTGTGTGAGGGGCTGAGGTGAGATTTGGAGGCAAAGTACATTGGAACGTAAGATACGACTGGCTTCTTCCTTTCGCTAGACAAAAGCTATTGCTGGGGAGTGAGCCCTGAAAAATAAACCAGAAAATGCATCAGTTTTCCCTGTAACGGAAACAGTCTGAACCGTGACTAAAGAGCTCTGCCTCTAGGAGAGTCATAAATAGGAATCAGATGATACAGCCAAGAGTTATATCAGGAAATCCAAACCAAAGAAGGCTGCTGTATAGCAGATGGTTTTATGCATTACTAAAAACAATTTATTCTTGACATTTGTAAACGGCATGCTTGCTTGAACACATAAACGATACATTGAGGTAGCTTCTATCACAGCTAGGCTGTGGGGCCTCTACAGTCCCTGGAGGGTAACGTAAATTTTGAATGCAGGCTTATGGCTGGAAGGGAGGTGTGGGGAAGTGATGAAATTTAGAAAATTTTTA